TTGCAAGATACCCTCTGATTTATGTCACATATGAACCTCACACCTCACAGCCTTCTTCTGCAAGGTGAGAAGCATTCCCAATAAGTATTGACTGGCTGCACCCCAGAATGGAATTCCATACCTCAGATGACTTTCAAACAGGGAAAAGAATACTGTCCTTTCCACATTCTCGCCCAGTTCAGATCTCGAACATCGTATTGCAAAGCAACTAGAGGAAAGTTTTTTACTTAATTTCATAATGTGGTCTTCAAACTTTAGCTCATTGTCGATGTGAATTCCAAGGAATTTATTAACTTTAGGGTTCTGAATTGGATTATCTCCCAAATTTATATGTTGTAAGTCATATTTGAAGCATAAGATGTTTGTTTTATTTACATTAAAGCACAAGCAATTAGCATCACACCAACTTTTTATTTTAACAAGATCTTCCGATAAAGTGGTTTTTAGGATATTAACGTCTTTGTGGTGCCATACTACAGAGGTATCGTCCGCAAATAGAGTAAATAGACCTGAAATGTTGAGACGAGTAACATCATTGATGTAAATCAAAAATAATAAAGGGCCCAGAACAGACCCCTGTGGTACCCCGCAATTAATCTCTAAAGAAGAAGAACGCATGTCCAAGTTGATGACTGACTGATTACGATAGCTTAGGTATGATCTGAACCAGGGATCGACCGATACCGATATGGCATATCGGTATATCGGCGTATCGGCCATTTTCAGGTATATCGGTGTATCGGCATATCGGCCCTTCATTGGCCGATAACTTTAAACCGATACAAATCATATTTTGAAGATCAGTAATCATCACTAAGGCTTTTTTGAAGCTTAAAAGAGCTAATAATTGTGGTTGGTACATATGGGAGTGACTAAGAAAAAAGTCAATATTAGAAATTGTTTCTCATAAATTTATTTTAAATTAATTAGGTTTTTATTTAAAAAAAAAACTTAACATTCTGCTTATCTAAACTCAAATTCAAAATTATTTATTTATTAAAAAAAAAAAAAACTAAACTTTCTGCTTATCTGAATTCGAACAAACAATATTAAAACTAGGAGAAAACAAATAAATAAAACATTCAAACTAAAGGAAAAGGTGCGAGAAAACAAATAAAACATTCAAACCAAAGGAAAAGGTTGGAGAAAACAGATAAATATATATCGGCCTTATATCGGTATCGGCCTTCTATAAATCCATATCGTATCGGTATCGGCAATATCGGTTTTTAAAAAAAAAAAAAACGTATCGGTCGATCCCTGATCTGAACCATTGTAGAACCTGTCCACGAAACCCATAACGCTCTAGCTTTCGCAGCAGTATTCCGTGATCCACGCAGTCAAATTTTTGGATAGGTCGCAGAATACTGCCGCGACAGCCTCACCACCATTAAAATTGGAATAGACTTTTTCAAGGAAATTAAAAATAGCATCATGAGTATTCTTAGCGGCCAGGAATCCGTATTGTTTTGGAGTGATTCGTTTTTTGACTATCTTTTCAATAACCTTTGACAATGTTGGAAGAAGAGATATTGGTCTGTAGTTTGAGGGTATATTTGTGTCACCTCCCTTATGGATTAGAATGACCAGTGAAGATTTCAAACAACTGGGGAAAGAACCCCTGTCAAAAGAGTCATCTATGGCACAACAAAGAGCAGCAAACGCATTGTCAGGTAATTTTAATAATACCTCACCTGAAATTTCATCCTCACCACTAGACTTTTTGTTTGCTATATCTTTAATGGCATTAACTACCTCTTCGCGTTCAACAGGAAAAAACTGAAAGGAACCGGAGATTGACATGTCGGACAAGTAAATAAGGGGATCTTCAGTAGATGTAATAGCCTTGGTTAGAGTATTGGAAACGCTGCAATAAAATTTATTTAACTCATTAACATCAATGTTCATTTCATGTTCTTTTTTTGACCTCTGGCATATATTATTTATGATCCTCCAACTTTCCCTTTGTTTGTTTTTTGCTTTGTTTAGCCTACTCTTGTAATAAGTTTCTTTTGCTTTTTTAGTGAAATTCTTATGGATATTTTGGTAATTAATGCAATAGGTTAGGAACCATTCGTCTTTAAAGAATTTCTTCAAATAGAGTAAGCAACACAAATTTTTTGAAGATATTCTTAGTCCATTCGAGAGCCAGAGTTTTGTGTCGGTGCGTTTAGCCTTAACCCAACGTAAAGGAAATGCCCTCTTAAAATTATCAACAACAACACGGTGAAAAGCATCTAGCGCATCTAGAGCATTGCTAACACCAGCCCAGTTAACATGATTGCAGTTATAGTTAAAATCATTGAAATTTTGGTTACTGAAGATTCTTTTCTGTTGTCTGAGCCTTTTTTGGGTGGAAGCTGTCAGGGAGAAGATGGAACCAATTGCCTCATGATCAGACAAGCCAGAATCAATACTTACTTCGTTGAAATTAGAACACAAATAATCGATAGTTGTGGCACTTGTCTCAGTATTTCTTGTGGGTGCCTCTATGTGCATTGACAATCCATACACCGTAAGTAAATTAAGGAGCATGGTGGTGTTAATGTGGCTTATCGCATTAAAGTCAACATTAAAGTCACCAGCCAGTATAACTCTGGCTTGTGAAGAGATATTAGAAAGAACAGAATCAAGCCTACCTAAAAATTCCTTAAAGTCTGACGAGGGAGAACGATATAAACACAGCACAAAAAGGTTAATTTTTTCACACAAGGAAACTGATAATTCAAATGTTTCATTTTTTAGGAGATGGTCAAACTCGGTTAGTTTTACAAAATCAAAGCCACAAGATTCGCTCAACATAATCAAAGTGCCTCCGTGAAGAGAATCTGTTCTGTATTGCAGAGAAATAACTTTATAATTTGGAACATGGAAGCACTCATCCGGATGCAGCCAGTGTTCTGTCAGCAAAAGCAAATCAGGAAAACTGTTAGATTTCAAAAAACTGAAAAGCTCATTAGTTTTATTTCTTAAAGACCTACAGCTGTATGCAACATCCTCTTTTAACTTAAAAGCGCTTCTTAAAACTGGTACCTTTAAAAATTTGTATGGTTTAGAATACACATTTTTAAAAAGCGCTTTTAAGTTAAAAGAGGATGTTGCATACAGCTGCTAATATTTTGTAGAATTAATGAAAAGTGAACTGTATTAGAGTTTAAATAAGAACTGTTTTTATTCTGTAAAAAACTTGAGTCATCATTAAAAATTTTATTTTTTGGTGTTGTTACGTTAGAAGTTGCGTTGGCACCGGAAGATCTAAAAAATTATCAGTAGTTGCCTTATTATCGTTATTCTGTGATGAGTTGCTATTGCGAACAAGAGTGCTCTCGGCTAGTTTGTCTCCTAATCCTGTATCAATTTCGCGATTTTCTATAAAAATCAAGTTATTTGTGTTTTTGTTAGCAAAAAAATTTGAAATAAATTTATTTAATTCCACCGTTAGAGTATTTAGACCAAATCGATTTAGGAATGGAGAGTTCCTTTGAAAACAGTTTTTTCTTATACAAGTATTGGTTAAAAATAACTTGGTATTGTTATTTCTGTGAGATATATTTAATATCAAGTTGTATATCTCATATTTATTATAGAAATTACATTGCGACGATATTTCGCCATTAACTGGAGATGTGCAAAAAACTAACTTTGTCAAAACACATTTATTACACAAATCTAAGACCAGCGGTTTTGTCAATTTTTTTATGTCCGGGCCTACAAATAAGACGCCAAAGTCAGTATTAGAATAATCCTTAATATAAGAGTCCAAGTCTTCGGTCTGGAAGAACATATTGGGGAGGAACTCCATCTAGGTGAAAATGTAATTAGCCTCATCAAGTAGAGAATTTCCATCAGCATCTAGTCGATTTTCAGCAGCTTCAGTAATTAGGATTAGAATAATAGCTCCATCCAGCCAAATGATATCCAGCATATCAAAATATGTCTCACCATTCAAATTTCCATGCATCCATAAATATCAAAAAATTTGAAAAAGAGCTGAAGGGGACACAGCTATTTAAATAATCTCAGAGGACATCCTAATAGTTTTATAATGTAGGCTTTGCCTCCAGGATATCAATTTATATTGCGTGGACCAGCAACACGTGAAAAAGTAGTTGACAGCAGTTGTCCCAGAGACAGATAATTTTTATAAGTTTGTCAATTTTATACAATTTTTTACAATTAAAAGTGGATACTACTGAGTGAACTTTCATTTAAAATATTTATTAAATCTCGCTAAGGCCTCCTACAATAAACAATTCAAAATGAAGTTATGCTAAAAGCAAAAGCAACAAAAAATTGCTATAAAAATTAAACCCTCTAAATACTTTCGCCAATGCACATAATTCTTGTGTATCACAAAAATATGATAATTTCAGTGAAACTACTACATTCAGTGATAAACATGGTGATTTAAATATAATCCATATAAATGTACTATGTAGTATGTACAAAAATTGAAATTCAATTTTTAGTTTCACCAGCAGGTTAAATTTACCGTAGACGTTACCATTCAGTCCATAATTTGGCTCTAAATAAATAAATAAAAATAGAGATTTTCTCCGGATACTAGATATGTCTGTCCTTTAAACGCATGACGATTTTTATTACTGCAATATCTGCAGTTGCGCTTGTTTACAAATCCATCAGAAAAAAAAAACATTCAACACTAAGCCAGATATTTTTAGCGAAATGTGAGTAAATCTCTAATATTCTAATATAAGACGCATTTTACGACTTTGGAAAGTTTCTGAAAGCTGATATTTTATTATTTTAGTCAAACAATTTTGTTGTACGTATTTGCTTGAAATAAGCAGCAAATACAATAAATTAATTATCCACCATAAATTTGAAATATTTGAATTCATTCAGTATTTAAATTCTGTTGCCATTAAGAAGCAACTTTGGTTCACTGACATCCTGAATATTTAATTTGACTGATAGTCTATTATGAATTTGTCCTTATCTATAGTATTTAAAAGATAATCTTTAACATTTTTTTCTAGATGGACTATCCATATGGAAGGTGCCACAGGCACGTTATACGAAGGAGAAAGCTTCCAATTGCAATTCAAATTTAGCAATAAATACCCATTCGATTCACCCGAAGTGACATTTGTCGGCAGCAATATTCCAGTGCACCCTCACGTCTATAGCAACGGCCACATTTGCTTATCGATATTAACTGATGATTGGTCGCCGGCATTGTCGGTGCAAGCAGTTTGTCTGTCCATTGTATCGATGCTCAGTAGTTGCAGGGAAAAGGTAAGCAAGTTAGGATTAAGTTTTATAGTCAGGAATTTTGAAATGACTTGAGCTGGAGTATTTTAATATTATTAATATATTAACAGTAGTGAGCTGTTTGAATGACTATTGAATCAGTTCTGTTCTAGCTTAGCAAAAATTCACTAAGGTAAAAAGAAAATAAAAACTATTGCGAGTAATGAGCGCCCGGGTTGTTAATGGAAGTTTTTCGTCAAGTGTGTTTTTCAAAATTTGAACCAGTCATGGCTTTGTCTGACGACGCATTCCGCCAATAAATGAATATTGAATTTCCTGGTTAATCAAACATTTCTTGTTCTGATTCCTGAGGTCAAGCCCTCAACTGACCTTTTTTAAAAGATGTGTAATGCATTCTTCGAAGCTTCGCATTACAATATTTCGGGTTCTAAAGGTCGATTGGTATTTTAGTTATCTGCCTTTGGCAACATTCCAAAAAAATAGAAGTTACGTATATGTAATATGCACTTCCGCTTACGTCATTTCAAGTTATAAAAAAATATACGGGTGATGGAACTTCTAAAGGCAATATTTTTATGTGCATGTGAATGATGATTTCTTTATTTTATAGCAACAACCACCTGATAATGCATTTTATGTTAAGACTTGCAATAAAAATCCAAAGAAGACAAAATGGTGGTATCACGGTATGTATTCAAATAAATATTTACCTTAATCCTGATTTATCATTTTCTAATTATTCTAGACGACTCTGTATAAAACCAAATGTGATCCTACATTCAGGGCCTGACAGTTTCATAATTATAATGATTTTCTGTCACACGAATAATGTTTTTTCAAACAATTATATACATAGTACTTATTATAATAAAGTTTTTATTTATTACGACTTTATTAATTTAATATAGTAATTATATTATTTTATCCAGTAATAATTTTGTGTAGGTAAACAGAAAAAAACAATCTAGAATTATTTGGTTGGGTTGATCTATAATTGAAATTAATCTGTGATAAATTGAAGGTGTTTAACTAAAATTTGTAATTTTAAATGTGACCCTACATTGATTTTACGTCTGCACTCTGCCAATTGAATAAAAAAAGTATATGCCTATTTTGACTTGACTGATTCTGTTTTGCAAATTTGTACCACCTTCAAATTGATTGCAATATTAGCAGTTTTTTTTTTGTAAATCTTTATTATTTTATTATTGAAATATTTTGTTTTTAATTGTAATATAATAAATTGTACCTGTAAAAATTGTTGTTTTTCTGCTGAAATGCACTTGGGTCGCATTTGAGAATCTACTTCAAAACTCTAGGTATTTATGTTTAGATCTGTCTTAAACTTCCAGATTTGAAAATATTTATTTATTTATTTATGTTGTGGTTTCCAACATTTATTTATTTTTCAAGAGTAGAATCTGTGGTAGAAGCTGCCAATGCCGTGCTAATTCTTGTTCGTAAATCCAGGTTCAAGGAAACACGATGGTTTGATTATGAAAAGTGTTTTTATTTTAATTTGAACGAAAAACGACTATTTACAACTATTTACAGAAAACAGGTAACAAATTCTGAAGAACATTGCATATTTAAATAAGTATATGGAACGTTCACTTTAACGCAAATAATTGGTTAATTAACAGCAATTAAACAATAGAAAACTGAAGAGAAAGAAAAGGTTGATTTCAGGCGCACGATCGGGCCATTTGGAGAAAAGAAAAAAGCGGTACAAAACAACCCTTGCAATTCGTTACGATCTCTGACTAGAAGTGAGAACTCAAGGCAAACAAAAACTTCGACTTCGTAGGTACTCTCCACCTCCAGTCTTGACCTACTTTTGCGATGCGCTTGGGCATACGCACGTTCCCTTGAAAATCGGGTAGAAACGTAGAAACAGCAGATTATAGTAGGAATAAAAATATAAAGAAATTTAACTTTAAATGCAGCGGCGGCGGCAGCGGGTTGAAATGAAATTTCAACATACTCCCCCCCCTTGAAGCCTCAGCTTCAAGAAATGGAGAAAAGAAACGATTCGAAGGACCATCACTCATTGTTCAATGGCAGTGGACACAGCTTTGCGATTGAACGAGTGAATTCGGAGTCTTTTGTTCTTAATTTTACAACACGAACATTATTATCTGCACTCGTAATGATTTCAGTTACCCGGGCTCTTGGCCATTTTAAAGGAGGTACATTTTCTTCCTTTATGAGGACAAGGTCATTAACTTTAATATTTGGTTTTTGGACTAGCCACTTTGGTTTATTCTGAAGTTGGTTTAAGTACTCAGTTGACCATCTTTTCCAGAAGGCTTGTTGAACCTTTGTCATGTTTTTCCACATAGAAAGTCTATTTGTAGTGGTGTTTTCTAAGGATCTTTCTGGAAAAGATGTTAAACTGGAGCCAATGAGAAAATGGCCTGGAGTGAGGACATCGAGGTCCAAAGGGTCGTTTGATAAGGCGCAAAGTGGCCTGGAATTGAGAATTGCCTCTATTTGAGCCAATACAGTACTTAAAACTTCGAAAGTAAAATGAGAGTCGCCAATTACTCTTGTGATGTGATATTTGGTACTTTTGATGGAGCTTTCCCACAAACCGCCCCAATGAGGAGAGCGAGGAGGGATGAAAACCCATTGCGTTTCTCTAAGTGATAGAAAATCCTTTATTTGTTTATTATGTGCATCATTTTTAAAGAAGTCGTAAAGTTCTTTAATTTCATTTCTTGAGCCTTTGAAGTTTGTGGCGTTATCGGTGAAAATTACGGACGGATTACCTCTACGGGATATAAAGCGCTTGAGTGTGCAAATAAAAGCATTAGTGGAAAGATCTGATACTAGTTCGATATGTGTGGCCTTTGTGACCATACATACGAACACGGCAAAGTAGCATTTGAGAAGCTTGGCTTGCCGCAACGAGGATGATTTGACAAGCATTGGTCCGCCAAAATCTACGCCGACCTTGGCAAATGGTTTTGAGAAGTTTACTCGAAACTCTGGCAAATCTGCCATTATTTGTTGAGCTACTTGGGCCCGTAATCGGAAACAAACTATGCACTTTCCTGTTAGTTTTTTAATGGCTCGAAGGCCATTGAGAGGCCAATAACGAAGTCGAGTATGCGATAAAACAGTTTGGGGGCCTGCATGATACAGGTCCAAATGTTGCTTAGTAAGAATTAGATCAACTACGTGATCTTTAGCGGGCAGCAAAATGGGAAATTTCTGGTCAAATGATATATCTGCTCTGGACAGACGGCCACCGACTCTTAAAATTCCTTCGGGGTCCAAAAAGGGACTTAAAGATAAGATTGCCTTGTTAGGCACGACCTTGTGGTGTTTTAGACAGGATATTTCCTTGGAAAAATGCTTTTCTTGTATGGTTTTAATGATAAAGTTACGAGAAACTTGCAATTCTTCGATTGATAAAGAATTTTCCAAAACCTTATTGGAGCTATGTTTTAAATTTTTCACAAATCTGAAAATAAAAGCGAAAGTTCTATGCAGGCGAGTGAAACTAGAAAATTTTAGAAATTTTGAGTAACAATATTCATTAGTTATGGAAAAATGCGAAGAAATCGTTTTTATACTTCGCTCCTCTTTTAATGCTTCATTGTTTTGTGAAATCTTGAATGTGAATTTACTGAGGTCAAGTTCAAAGTTTTGCAAAAAATTAGGTCCCTTCCACCACAACTCGCAAAATTGAATTTTATCGGGAGAAACTCCACGGGACAAAGGATCGGCTGCGTTTTCTTCCGAAGAAACATGTCGCCAAATGAATGATTCGGTTAACCTTTGTATTTCAGCAGTACGATTGCTCACAAAAACAACCCATCTGGAAGAGTGTGCTGACAACCAGCATAACACAATTTCCGAATCCGTCCATAAATTTATGGATTCAAATTTAATAGCATTATTGAAAATGGCTATAACCTTCTCAACGAGACGTGCTAAAAGTAATGCACCACATAATTCGAGTCTGGGTACGCTAATAGTCTTTACAGGGCTAACTCTGGACTTGGAACAAATCAAACGACTAGAAACTGTATGATCTGCGTATGTTGCGCGTAAATACACGCAAGCAGAATATGCAAGTAGGCTTGCGTCCGCAAAGCCATGAAGCTCGACGGTTAGAATCTTTTTCTTCAAAAGTAAGCATCGTGGAACTTGGACATTTTTCAGGCAAGGAATTCTTGTGTATAAATCCAACCATTCATCCAATAAGTCGGGCGGAAGCTTGTCGTTCCAGTCCAGCTTCCTGTTCCAAATTTTTTGCATAAAAATTTTCGCGATAACAATGACTGGACCAAGGTAACCACAGGGATCAAACATCTTCGCAATGTTGGACAGCACCTCACGCTTTGTAAAGCATTTCTGGGTTTCTAACGCGGGTAAAGAAATACAAAATTGATCCTCGGATGAGTTCCACTTTAAACCGAGAACCTTGTTTGAAACCTGCTCCATTTTTATGTCAAGCGTTTGAGAAGACAATTGAGAATTAGAAGTTTTAAGGACGTTTTGTGTGAATTCCTTTGAATTCGATGCGAACTTATGAAGATAAAATCCAGCTGAGTTTAAAAGAGCATTTAATTCAACATAAAGTTGATGCAGTTCATCTAAGGATTCCTGAGAAGCCAGGACATCGTCAACGTACGTTTGAAGTAACAACGCCTGTGAAGCTAGCGGATAGTCAGATTTTTTAGAAACAGCAAGTTCACTTAAGCAACGAGTTGCCAAGAAGCTTGAACTATTCAAGCCGTACGTAACTGAAGTAAGTTCTACGCATTTTAGATCTTCAGTGGGGTGATCCCTCCATAAAATGTTTTGGAGAAATGTTTGATTAGGATTGATTTGGATATTCCTATACATTTTTTGAATGTCAGCTATCAGCACATAATTGCGAACTCTGAATCTGAGCAAAATGTCAAAGAGGTCAGACTGGACGGGAAAACCCTTGAGAGTTATATTGTTAAGGGAGACTCCTGATGATGATGTCATAGAACCGTCGAAAACCACTCGCAACTTTGTGGTGGTGCTCTCTGGTCTTAACACTGGATGATGTGGGAGAAAAAATTTATTTTCGTTTTTCTCATTTTTTATTGTGAGGGGAACTATTCTGGCATGATTCAATGCTATGTACTCATCAATGAATGATTTGTATTCATGAAATAAACTCTGATTTTTCTCAAACCTTTTTTCTAGGAGAAAAAATCGTCTTTTGGCTTGCGCAAAGCTATCGCCAAGTTTTAGGTGCTCGTTGGGACTCTTGAGAGGAAGATTAACTTGGAATTGGCCATTGGGAAGTCTTAGGGTTGTGTCTTTAAATATTTGCTCACAAAGTTGATTCTCCGGAGAAGGAATAGATTTTGTGTCAATTTCATCTAGTGACCAAAATTTTTCCAAAAGATCACTAGTTTGAGAAATACGAGAAAGCATACTGACATTGTTAGAAACTATAGAGATAAACGATAATTTTTGAGAAGGATTTTGGATGAGACCAATTTTTCCCCCGACTATGAAGCCTAAATGAGTATTAAATAGGGTAGGTCTGTCTTTGCCCAAATGAATCATACCTGGAACTAATAGATCGTAATAGATATCTGCTCCACAGAGCATGTCAATTTTTGCGCTGCGATAAAAGCGAGGATCCGCAAGGGTAATGTCATTAGGAATCCCGAGGTGTTCAACGCTGAGTGTCACTTGTGGAAGATTGATGGTTATATTGTCCAAGATTGCACAGGATATTTGAAATTGTTTTTGTGGATTCGAGTGAGAGTGAAAGTTTATGTTGATCATTTGTGTGGAGCTGATCGAACTGTCAGAAACTCCGGAGATTTGTAAGGACTTGAAAAATGTTTTTAAGCCTAGTTTTTGAACCAATTCCTTGGTGCAGAATGATGTTTGAGATCCACTGTCTAAGAGACACCTTGCCTGGATAGGCTCTCCACAATAGCTATAAATTGTGACAATTGCTGTTGACAAAAGAACATGATCCTGTTGTTTTGAAAATGCTGAAAAGCTAGTGGTATTTTCGAAACTGGTGTTGTAATCAGGGTTTTTATTACTATCTGAGACCAACATGGAATTTTGATTCTTGCGATTTTCAACGTCACTACGAGGTTGATCGCCAGATTGTGATCTATTTTGGTTGCTGCAATGAGCCGAGGTACTGTCATCATTACGAGAACTCTCCAATGTGCGCGTATTTTCGTTGTTTGAGCGAGAATTTGAATTATTACTTCCGAAACGATTATTATTATTGTTATTAAAATTTCTCTCCGAATATCTTCGATGAGAATTTTGAAAATTTGAAGAAACCTGACAACCATGTAACATTGTGTGATGTGATGCCCCACATACAATGCACCGATGTTTTGATTGGCAATTGT